TTTAAATTTTATTTTATGGTGATAAAATTCATATTTAATGTTCTTGCCTAATCACGTGGTATTATTGCTAAGTGCTGGTAGACATCTATATTTTGGTTTGGATATATAAATTGAATTAAGTTAAATTAAACCATATATTATATTGGAATAAAATATGCTTAAAAATAAAATTAATTCAATTCGAATTAAATATGAAATGATATAACGCTCAAAAACTTGGTTTATAACTTAGTACAAGAGAGAATGATTAAAGAATATGAAAAATTCATTGGATGCAAATAATAACATTGAGCAATTTTTTATCTATTATTTTCAATCTTATAGATTATACTAGACAAAAATATCCGATGTTGAGTTCTAGAAAAACAAATAATTATGTTCTCGAATTATATGTTGGTATATCTTTAAGAAGTTTGAAAATCCGACGGTATTTTAATTTTAATTTAGTTTAGTATTTTCGGTTAAAGTTCTATGTACGATATATCTATTCGTTGAATTGAAAAAACGGAACTGTATTTTGCCAATGAGGAATATAATATCAAACTTTTTTTTGTGTGTCGAAATGTTACAACCATTATTATTTTTGTATAAACCATATTTTTTATATATATTGACGATAAAATATATTTTAAAAAGTTGACTTTTTTACAATTTGGTTAAATTTTCTAAATTCGTGCTCTATGACAAATACTTTAAATTTCTGTACTGTTCGGTGAAAAAATAGTTTATATTTTTCTCCAATATTTCAAAAATTTATGAAATTCCTTTTATCACTAAAAAATTCAAACAAAATTCTAATAAAAAATAAAATTTCTTATGGTGCAAAAAGTGGTTGGGCGTGTGAAGAACACGCGCTTGTATAGGCGAGTCGGACTAACAATTGTAGTAGCCGATTGTTTGGTCGGACCGGTTCTGAGGACACGTGCCAAATATCATCGGACCGGTTCACTTTTTCTTTTTCTTTTTCTTTTTTACATAACGTATTATTTAGAGATTTTATGGAGGCACATGCATGCATGCATTTGTTCGTGATCTTTACGAACGCCAGAGATGATTCCGGTTGATGATCCTTTTGTATCACGATATCATATGTCGAACATAAGGCATGGACAAGCCACCTTATCTGATTCGACTGCTTTCTCGTTCACTGAGTTCGACTGTCTGAAATAGACGACGTTCGTCTATAGTGCGGCCACACATTTCTACAGTCTCGCTCACACGAGGGGCCCAGCGATATCTCTCTCTTTTACGAGAGGTACAAATCCCGTCTTGACTATCTACAATCCAGTACATGATTCGTTTCGTACCTGATACACGCCTTTATAATCCTCCTGTTACGCAGGACGTTAGACGTATTCAAAGCACGCAACTCCTCATGTTGGATTCTGTAGATATCTCAGGTCTTAGGATCCGATCATGGAACCGTCATATGAGATTCTAGTCATGACTCTAGTCCATGTGACAATCTCATGCGGGTCAATCCAGTATTCTGTTCTCCAACGAATACCTATGATCGTGATCGTATCCAATACCTATGATCATCTATGTGATCATCAATCACACATCATACTAGTCTTATTATGTCGTTATTCCCATAACGACATAAGACTAGGGAGTTTAGTATCATTCATAATGATACATGGATTTCATAACATATCTAGCATGCAAGAACATGTAATGAATTAAAATACTCTCATAAAAACACATAGAAAGTATCTATACATCGAATGTAACTGAACAAAGCTCATAATCAGTACATCATAGAGCACTAAACCAACACTACAGTCCTTTTGTCAACCCTAGGCGGCGCTCCCGAAGTCCTACTCCCATCAAAACTCTGAAAATTCGAATCTGGGCTTTTTCTGGGTTTTTACTCGGACCGAGTCAGTACTCTGACTCGACCGAGTCAAAACGAGACATAAGAAATTCGGCCCAGCCCAATCTTTTGACTCGGACGTTCTGACTCGGGCATGTTGACTCGGGGTA